CTGTCATTATCTAGGCATTCATTTTTGAAACCATTTTAAGAGCTTGAGCATTTGAAAACAGCTTGAAATACGTTACACTAAATAATAATGCATGATTGTCCACTCACTTACACAACTAGCTAAATCCCAAACGCAAATGATGTAGCTGTCATTTGCTAGTTGTTGGTCAACAACTACCCATCATGTATATAATCTAGCCCTTGTGCCAGAGGGCAGACCACTGTGATACAATAGATACAGCCTGTTCGGTACGCCTTGGTTGTAAGAGTTCATCGAGCTTCTCCATTTGGAATAACTAAAAGAGTTTCAGTTTTCTTTTTGTTGCACATACACCTCATTGGTGAGTGGTACGGGACCTACTGTTGACTGAATCATGATATTGAAATCATACTTCTGACTAATATCAGACTAACATGTTAGCAAAACTTTATCTCGGTGCTAAATAATGGGGTTATATTTATTGGAACTAAATTTCATGCTTAGTGGCACTCATCAACAAGGTGTATCTGCGATAATGATAGAATTGGTACTCTCTCAGTATTTTCAACCTGTATCATCCAAGTCGAAACTGATCTAATCCTGAGAACTAGACGGTTTCACCAGTTACTCACTATTGACCATTTCGTGTAAATTACAATATATTTATAGAAAAAATGGGAAATATCCACCAGTAACAATTTCTGTCTTAAAAGTTTTCATTCACTTTTATATACTTACTATCTTAACAGCTTCATCTGCTTTTAAAAGAGGAAAGATTTATGGTTTCTATGACATAGGTGTTTGATCGGGATTCAAAAGCCTCCTTCCACACACTATCACTTTTCTCACTAAATTTATTGACACTGACTTTAAAAGAGGAAATTACTATCTCATCATTTTAAAGTAGTCCTGCTATTGGCTATGTAAACTTCTATTCTCAACGATAACATAAAATTATCCCACAGTAGCAACCTAGATAAGAGAACAGTCTCTTCACCAAGGTAGATAAATTAACAACTAAAATCATAGAAATGAAATTAGTTTGATGAATCAGAGGACTGATCAACTGTAGAATCTTTCATTTGGACTGAGTTATTTTGCATGCTTCAAATCATTAAAGAAATTAAACTAAAGAAATACTTCATCCTCTAGTTTGAGTAGAGTTGGATTAAGATGAGAAGTCCTGACTGAGCAGTCAGTATGAGTACGATCAAGTGGTAGTAACGCATCACAAATTCACCTGGTAGTCGGGCAAAACCCTTGGTGATTGAAGTAAAGTAAATATCTAGTGGTCTATAGAGTCTCATGGTTCAGTTGACTGAACACTGGGCCAGTAACCCGGAAGGTCACTAGTTCAAATCCTGCGATGGTTCACATTTTTATGTTACCTTCAGTCATCACCCGATATTAACATATCATTCTCACTTTATAACTAAGAATTTATAACATCAGTCCACGTTAACCAGCTAAGTCCATGAGATTAGTCTACTTAGTGTTAACGTAATAGGCTGGAAATTAAAAACAAAGCTAATAAATTAGTCGCTCACTCCTATGCTACAAGCTTCCCTCGGTATGGTGCAGTTACTCGAAATACTTACTGGTCATTTGCTGTTACGGATTAATAAGTTTTGAATATGCAATTTTACTATGACTGACTGTTTATTCTAAAAGAGAATGGCAAATAAAATATGTGAGGGATGTCAGAGTACAAATAAATTGAACATACTCGGAAATCTGCTGTATCCTACAGCAATACTGTTACTATATATTCTAGAGAAAGTGAATTACTTTTGAGTGACACTTGTTTTCGCTGTAGAATGCGGATATTAAACATTGAAACGTTGAAACTCTTTCAAAACTACAAAAAGATCACTAAACTTTTGTTAGTTTCGGTTGACTATCAACGTTTCCAATAAAATCAGTATGACTCTGGATATTTTGATATTGAAGTCGTATGCAAGACGGTTTCTTGTGAATAAGATCGTTTTGTAACGCATAAATTCATTTTTCAACTATCACAGTCATATGTTATTGCTAACGGGATTCTCTGGTCAGATATTCCCTTCTTTCAACTTCAGTAATGAAGAGATTTTTGTTGTTACTAAAATGTGGATATTTACGTGAATTAACAATTATGGATCAGATCTCATTATGCATAAAATATGTTATGAAATAAATAAATTCTGGACTTCAGAATTAATATTTAGATATTCAAAAATTCATTTATTGACTTCTTTAGTTTTCATGCATTTAGATCCCTTGATAAGTTTGAACAATGCAGGAAGAATGAAATTTGCAGAAAAAACTGATATCATTTTATTTCACGAATACTCTTCAGTTACATACAGTCTAAAAGTGCAGTGGTTATTCCTACATAATATATCTCAAAATCTGAAAGTCAATAATTTTAACTTGTATAACAAAATCACTGATAATTTACATAATGTGTAAGAGAATTAATTGTAAAGAGGTAAGAAATGTAGACAGGAAAAACAATGATAACTATAAATAAAGTTATGTAATTAAAGTGAAAATGAGACAGGATCAAATAGCATTCACCGAAAGAGTAAAAGACTAACCACACTCTCCTTCTGTATGCAAAGGTCAAGTTTAGAGCACCCTTTAATCACATTCGCTCCAGCGAAACACAGTAATCCAAACATTATTATTTTAGAAGCATTCAGGGTTTCAACCTAATGTCATGTGTCTAAAAGGTGTCTGGTGATTATACGGGTTAGAATTTTACTTCCTTTCAAGCACAGAGTCTTGGGGATATGCTCAGCTAGCCGAGTGGAAGCACTCTTCTCACTTCTTCCAATGTCTTACGACCGCAAGTGCATGTGAATTCATAAATATAGTTTGAGGTGATATGACCAGGATAATTATCCAATTTTAACCGGTTTAGCGAGAATATGGTAGTGTATACTGTTACAAGTTTAGCTACAGAAAAGTTCCCTCTCAGTAATTCTTTGATTTTCATGTCTGTTCACTTGCATACTGAATCTCCCTTAGATGTAAAATGCATAAAAAGCTTCTTCTTTTCCACGGTTGGGCGTTTATTTCCCTCGATCCTTTCTTTTCCGTACTTCATAATAACTCTCTTGGGATATCCATTCTCTCTGGGACAGTTCTCAATAATGATTGGTCCTAGCCTTAACTTCCTCGCAGAACATAATTTCCCAGTTCTGTTGTAAAGTGTTCTGACTGGCTCACACTAATAACTGGCAGGACAAAAACTTTTATAGTTAAGGTATTGTCCAGTCCATGTGTTTTTTCTACGGATGGTCTTTTCAATCTTACCATTAGTTTCTCTTCTCACTTTGAGGTCCAAAAACTAAACTCTTTTTCATGCTCATCATTATTACTTTTTTTGCTTTTCTAAATTTCTTACCTCTGTACAATGAATTCTCTTACACCTTATATGGAATATCAATGATTACGTTATACAGCTTAAGTTTATGGATTTCCAAATTTTGAAACATCTTACATCCTAATAATTACTACACTTTTAGATTGTATGCAAATGAAGAGTACTTATGAATAAAATGATGATAGTTTATTCAACAAATTTCCCCCTTCTTTCTTGAGTTTTATTGTAATTTCACACAAGATACATTATAACCCGTAATCTTCCACTGATTTGTCCAGACTAAACTGACCACTCATTATCCTTGTCATTTTAACGGGCTTGTGTAGGTGGTACCAGTGGATCGGCGTCATTAGTGGAATCGAACTCATGAATTCTAAGCTATATATAACTGCTGGTCATCTTCCGTTGCCATTACGTAAGGGATTTCATGAGGTCAGCTGAAAAGGTGGAAAGAGTGTTGCTTCAAATCAGAAGGCATTAACACTTTTGACCAGAAGTCTTATTATCCCCGGTTTGATGAAGAGCAGCTAATATGATTGTTACGATAGAAATGACTTTTAGACCAAACTGTTAGTGGAAGAAGTGTAAAAGTTATATGTGATAGCATTGAAAGATAAATTTTGTAGTGTTTTTAGTAGTTCATTCTACCTGGTTTCGTTATATTCAGTCCGTTTATTTAGAAAAAGACTGACTGAGCGAAGAAATATATTTCTTTTCAATTAGGTCTTCATCTTGGGCTCTACACTAATATACAGGTTTAGAATTTAGTCAAATTACCAATCACGTGGAGGTGTTTCGGAAAGAATGATGTAAATAATCAATAGGGTTACTAAAATAGGAAATATGAATACTGATAGAAACAAGAAGGGGAAGAGGCGCACAAACTAAACCTAGAAGTTACATCATGTTGACGGCCACAGTAATGAAAGTGGTTGAACAAACTTCTTTTAAATACGAAGGTTAGGTTTGTAGAGGTGGATTGCAATCGCCTCTGCTATGTGAAGTAACCGAGTGCGTAATCCATGAGGTAAATTAATTGGAATCTGATGCAAACTTAGTTGACACAGGACATCAAGTGGTTACTGGAAAAACCTTCAAAATTATCCATCAGATACCAATTAATTTACCTCATGGATTACGCACTCGGTTACTTCACATAGCAGAGGCGATTGCAATCCACCTCTACAAACCTAACCTTCGTATTTAAAAGAAGTTTGTTCAACCACTTTCATTACTGTGGCCGTCAACATGATGTAACTTCTAGGTTTAGTTTGTGCGCCTCTTCCCCTTCTTGTTTCTATCAGTATTCATATTTCCTATTTTAGTAACCCTATTGATTATTTACATCATTCTTTCCGAAACATCTCCACGTGATTGGTAATTTGACTAAATTCTAAACCTGTATATTAGTGTAGAGCCCAAGATGAAGACCTAATTGAAAAGAAATATATTTCTTCGCTCAGTCAGTCTTTTTTTAAACGTCTAAATGGAAATTCAATGTATTGAAATCCGTTTATTATTTAATCTTCCTTGATGACATCATTTCCCATGCAAGTTGTCCTTTCATATAAAGCAGAGAAATACTAGTAATTCATGAAAGTATTATTTGGGCGATTCTTGATCTACATGTTTTTCTTTGTTTTACCTTCAGATGTGTAGTAGATTACTGATGGTTAAACAAGTCTGTAACATCAATGTCAAATACTTCTGCCGGCTACATTATGAACTATTCATTCATTTTGTACTACACACTGAGTGATATTAACATCTAAAGCTACCGGTAGGTATTTTTAAAACTGTATTCAGAAACTGAAAGTAATTCATATTGCATAATTTTGAAATTGTTGCCTACTAGAATGTGATCTGATAGTTCAAAACCGCAGGCATACTAAAAAACTAAAGGCCTTTATATCTGTTTTGATAAGAGGTATGTTTACTGCCTCATTTAGTTACTCTGACCAAACAGAGCATACTATGAAAAGAGATTATATACAGCATAGTGTAGAGGGTTGTTTGTAGTGTTGAGAATATTGAGCATATCTCGCACCAGTAGCTTGTCTATTCTCTGCAACCCACAAAACTTACAGGAAGTATTTCGCATCCATCAAGGTTGCAGGTGCGCCTTGCTGACGAGTGCGAAAACGCACGAAACTTAGGTCCAGGGCTTCCTGCCGATTGCCTCCAACCAACTAACACAAGCCAACCCTATCAGCCGAAGGTGTAATGTGCTCCCCAAGCAGAAGACTCGTCATTGCCATGTACTTTGTACAACACTATGGTAGCAGACGGTTAACAAGAGCCCGTTAGGATGACGAAGTGTGTAATTGATCAGGGTGTCTTATTCATTTAGGTAGATATTATGAATACTTTTGAATATTTCTTTCAGAGATTCACTTATACCGCTTAACCTAGAATTAAATAAAGACGGTTTAGTAGTTTTGGTGCTTAGTTGACCATATTCTGTTCACCAGGGAAATCTACCCATTGAAATAAAAGGTTTGATTTTTGTTCATACGAAAGTGTATGGTGTCAACAGCTATGCTTGTTGGATAATTCGATTTTTAATCGACAATCAGTGACCTCACTACTACACCGCGATGAATCATGACTCCGCTGTTAATCAGTGACCAACACGGCTATAATAGTAGCCTGCTTTTTCAGTTTACATCACAGAAATTTAGTTAAGAAAGTTTTACAGAAGTTGAAATTATGAAGGAGTTATGTTTTAGAAACGATCTGTTTTAGTTTGTTTTTTAATTTTTACTTGGAAATTTCTGATGGCACATTTCAGAAAAGAATAATCCATTTGTAAGAAATGAGGGGCAAATTAAGGCGTCACAGATACAATGCATAGTCTTGATATTTTGTTATTCTTCACGGTGCCTACAAAATAAATTTAGGTGAATAATTATTTCTACGCGTTATGTTTACGTGCATATCTCACAGACTCATTGCTTTGCCTTTACATTTGTAGACAAGCAGGAGGTGACCACTAATTTTTAGTGTCATATTTACTTATCAGACATTCAATGCAAATATCTGCATGCCCATATAGAATGTTTTGGAATTTCTAACGCGGAACAAATGCTGACATCACACGTTCCACCAGTATCATTTCTACTTCGAAGTCACGCAAGAGGTGGAAATACTGTGTAGATTTAATCATTGTCGAAAAATAAAAAACGAAATGTTTATCTGGTTAGGATCCCTTATATCCTGCATAACTGATTATTTTCGGAGAATAAAGGTCTGTATAGTGTCACATGTACTTGTTGTAGTCATTCTCGTGGTGTTATAAAGAAATTAGCACTGATAGTAATGAAGAACAGCTTAATCTAGTAAACTGTGGTAACTCCACCAGAAAATTCAAATATAATTTAGAAAGTCTTCAAACCACAGTAAAAAGCTCCAGTTTTTATAGATTGTATATTCCACACATTTGCCAGGCTCAAAAGTGAGCTGCATTACTTGGCATCAATTATGCAAAAAACACCGAAATTAAGAACACGTTTTTTTAACTTTCACTGAGCCTAACATGCTTCAACTGTCAACACGTTAAGCGAATTTAAAACTTTGAACCCAAATGTAGTGGAATACGACTACAACCTCCGCTCATTATAGATTATTTCGTTAACCAGAAATTCAGTCACATTTTGTCGTTAGTTCACGCAGATGGCAATGACAATGGTGAATATTTAGTTCTTAGAATCATTTCAAATCCAAACAGTAATACGATTTTTCCACTATGAATTCACAATTGTTGTTGTATGAAAATCAGGCAGTCAAGTCAAGCTGACATTTAACAGTTATTACAGTTGCATTATTCGTTTGGACATAGAAATAAATTTTATTTTGAAGTCATTAATCCCGAAATCCACTGTTGTCTTTGGTATGGTATAGTGAAGAATACAAAATAATCGTCAATAGTTTGGGTAAGCACATATCTGAAAGTCCGGCAAAAGTATATTCTAAGGCTATGTCAGATTTTTTGGAGCAGTCATTTTATTCATTTTTTACATGCAGTCAACCCGAACTATTCATTTATATGGTCTCATTCAACTTGGGTACCATATGAAAATGGTCATCTCGAAGCGAATGAAACAGCTTCATATCATTGCAATCACTCTGCTCCGATAAGTGAAACTTGCTGATCGATGCAGCAGATGCATAACCCTTTTTATATTGTTTGGTGGTATAATTTTTCAGTGGACTGCACCATAATCATCGTTCATGACAGTTTGATTTTCCAGAACAACTTTTCAGTGAGTAAAAGATGTACTAATCAGCTGTAAAAAATGTCAATCGTGATGTTCTGATTTGTGAATAATTTACTTAATGTGTATGCATGTCGCTGTTGATACTGGCTGGTAAATTGAGAAATTAGATAAACAAAGATATACCAACTAGGTTATGCAGATATCTCATGGAAGATAATTGTCTCTATAGTCATCTTTAACTGTAAAATCTTATTCAACTACGTTTGGTTTTCTTTTACCTGACTCACCAAAACCAATGCGCAAGAAAAAACTAGATTGGTTAACATTAGGTCAACTGAAAAGTGTATCACTCCCGCATTACATGTCATTCAACAAAATGTGATCACGAAGGTGCTTAAAAGATAGTCTTGGTAACACCATTAAGCAAAATTGGACAAAACAGGAGATGAATTTACTTAACTCTAATTTCATTTATTAACCTGTCAAAAATTAATTAGTAAGAAACTGAAATGAAGTGATAAAAAATAGTGGAGTAGAAGAAGTTTTCTTTATCGGTTGCACTTCCATTATACCTTTCATCAACGTATATGTACGATGAAGTGTGGGTGTGACTAATGACCATCTGGTTTATTGATCAAATAACCCTTAGAATACAGGACAGAAGGAGATGTAGTTAATTTAAACTCAACTCTCTTCACTTGTCGATGAGGAGGAAAGTGCAAAAGAATAAAAGGAATCAGTCACTATGACTTATGTGTTAATAACACCAGTATGAGCAGCAAAAAATTAATTAAAATTAAAAGCGAAGATACTGTCAGTCAAGTTTTTAAATGGATGGATTGAAACAATGGAAAAGTCGATTTTTTTTCAGTAGATGTATCTGTATTTATGTTTGCATGGGATGTAGACGATAACTGGTCTACATGAATGTCTCCATTTATTTATTTAAATAGAACGGACACGTGTCGCCATTCGGTGACGAATTTACATGATGATAAAAATGAAGTGTCTAAAATCCTTCTATGTATAGCTTTAATGCTACTCAGTATAATTTGCTGAAAACGTATAATATGATAAAAGAGATGTGACGAGTTATGGTTGTTAGTGGTCATAACATTCATACAATGGAGAACAGTGAGATTATTAACGAAAATTAGTTAAGTGCTCATTTGTATGCTTACAGGCATTGACAGTGCAGCAGGTAAATTGACATTATTATATTTTTCTTCATATGATGTATTTTTTCATGTTTTATACTAGTTTTCGTAAAAATGATACCATATCTAGTTTACTGAGTATGACAAGAGAAAGCAAAATAGTTAGAGCAGGTGAATAATGAAAGAATAAGTTTGGATATTATTACTCATTTTAGCGTAATCTATTTGGAATAGGTATTCATGGAAATATAACAGACGTGTCTCATAATTTTAAATTTTAACTGATGACCTGAGCTCACTAAAACACAAAAGGAATCAATGAATTGGATGTGTTTGTATACATGTATGTAGAAGAGACAGGACTATCAGATGCACGTGCAAGCTAGGTTAAAAGATAATTTTCTTTTGACAAGTATGGTATACATGCTCACTTTGATATATTCTGTATATGATAAATAGGTAGAAAGAAATTAGTTTGTCAGATTTTTTTTGCAATAAATTTGAAAGTGGTAATTGAAAAAAAAGAAAAAAAACAACAGACAATATAATTATCTTTAGCTTTCCAGTTGGAAACAAGCCAGACTCATTAGTGTTTTTATAAAAACAGTACTTAGAACATTATTCAAAGATTTGTGTTCATCTCAATCATAATCAGAAATGTAGAGCAAAGTCAACTTCCAGAATCGCAATATAAGAAAGTATTTTACCAACTTTTTATGTAATATTGTGATTATTAACGATTGCACACACAACAGCTTTTAATGGTAATATTCGTGTGGTGAAATCGAGCATATTGATGCGAGTTGAAAATTTAATCGTTGTATCTAGAAGAACCCCTCCTTTTCATCCTTTGGAGATGCTGTCATGGCTGAATGGGGTTTAATAAGTACAACTAGAGTCAACACGAACAAGATATAATTGGCAATGTTATCTGCCGAGCTATACGGAAATCTACAAAATGAAAAAATCCTTCTATATACTGCAGATATTTATGGACTGTTGTAGATGACCACATAAAAGCTGTTTTATAAAGTTTAGTTGCTTTCATATTATCTTAATAGAATTGTTCTTTACGCTGTGTTGGTAAATGTTATTGCCCAAGACTGCCT